CCCCTCGTAATCCCCTCGTCACCCCCTCTTCATCCAGTAGTGATAGTTTAGAGGACGGGTTTGATAGTTTATGGCTGGATAGCACATGCCCCAAAAAGCACGGGGCCCCTCATAGGGCTCGGCAGTGGAGCTGCAAGGCCGGCGCCGGCGACCGGGACCGTTGGGGGCGGGGTGTGTGGCCTTATGACACACTTCCGGTGATGTTAGGGGGGGTGGCCTTATGACACACTTCCGGTGATGTCAGGGGGTGTGGCATATGCTAATGAGTTATGCTAATGAGTCCCCCTAGCTCTTTTTCTACAAAATGACCCCTGGCTATTAGCCACAGTATAGATAGGGACTCTGGGGCAAGTGATGTTCTGTATTCTTGGTGCTGGGGGCGGGTCAACAGTGGGAGGGCCTCTAGTGTCCTGGCCCCACTGCTGGACCTCCTGATGGCACCTGGTATTTTTGGCCACTGTGTGACAGAGTGTTGGACTGGATGGGTCATTGGCCTGATCCAACATTGGCATCTCTTATGTTCTTATAATTTCCATTAGCTGGCTTATGCATTGGGATCACTGGAACCGCATATCACAGGAATTGCTACGGTATCACTGGAACGTCATATCATAGCAATTGCTGCAATAACTTTGTCTTTGCATTTGACTTGGAGGAAGAGAGATTAATTACCTCGAATGTACTACTGGAAACTTTGGAGTCACATTTGCTAAGACCTTGGCTGTGATCATACGCACAATTAGACCCGACATAGGTGCGAATGCCGGGTGGATTTAAAGGGCACGATCAGACAACAACATCTGGGAAGCGCCCCGCAGCCATCGGCAACCCGTTCTGCTCCGCCACAAAAGCAGAGTAAAAAGACACCAGGGAAAATCCTGTAGTAGACGGGTTGTGACGGGCCATGGACGGACTTTCCCATGTCTGACCATTCCAGCGTGCTCTCATAGTGTCAGGATGGTCCAATCAGGCCACCTCGACTCCGTGCCATTGTTTTTTTATCCCCTTCACAGTATGTGCATCATCACAAACTCTATAGGGAGCCCTTGATGTGGAGGTGTGATTAATCAATCCCTCATTTAAGCACATGGGGGAAAAATGGCACCAAAAACCCCCTGACTCACCTGCAGTTGTGTCTGATCATGCACTGATGGACTACTCTCGCAGCTTCAAAGGGAGGTGTGATCATGCAACTGCGGGTCAAATTCCTCTGGAGGAAATAGCCTCGCGCCCCCCCCCCCATTTTTTCTGGACCGTGTGACCGCAACCTTTGATATATTTTATTTCTTTGACTAGTTAGTAGTATGTGTCTTCAAATAACATATAATATATAATTTGTATTCAAGTGTTGTTATGATTTAACATTTCTGCATAAAGTGTGTTAGTTATGTAGAATCATATCAGGATTATACACAGTGAGGGTTTTTGTACATTTTCAACCGTGTATCTCACTTTTGGTGGAAGTGTCATACTGACATGAGTGACATCAGTGTAATGCCAAAAGGGTAAGTCTCTGCCCTCTGTGATCTCCCACTTGTTTCCAGCCACAGACTGGCAACTTTAGGTCTGAATGAGCATAGAGCAGCCTCATGTGTATATGTTCATGTGACATTTTGTAAAAAAAAAATGGACTATCTGGTCAGGATCAGTTTCTATACCTCTTGGCGCATTGGAAGATCATGCATTAGCTGATAAATTTTGTTTGTTTTTATGCTGTTTTATAACGTCTAGGATTAACAGAAAAACAAATGGCAGAGTGCGTGTGGACAGAAACAAATAAGTATACGTTCTTCTTTCGTTCAAAAAAAGTGAGGTATCACTGCTCTACAAGTCGGATGACAGAGCGCTACGAAGGTAGCTTTTGCATTCCAGGGTTTCTCAGATTCTGCTTTAACTGTTTCCAAATCCTGCTGCGCTTAGCATTGTTATAGGGAGAGAAATTCCTTTGTCCAAAATTCCGTAGTTTTTTTTAGGATTGCTCTGCTCCCACCACCACCCCAGTTTTAAAGGATGGATTTCTCTTTCATTTCTCTTTGGTGAGAAATCAGTGTACCCTCCTGTAATTTAAACCTTCCCAGTTGTTTTATGTTCCATGCCATGGGGAGGGGGTGCTCTAGCAGGAGGGCAGGAAGGCTTGAGAAGTCATGGCCTGCTTCTGAGCATCTACAGAGTACAATTCTGAACTTTTGCAGAGCCTCCCTCCCTTCCCCTCCTCTCTTTGGATTTCTCTTTTATCAAAATGGAATTAAGAACTGATTCCAGAATCCTAAAAAGAAGAAAAGAAATGACTGGTTGGATTTCAAAGAGAAACTGGGTGAAGAGGATTTATCTTAACAATGCTAGCTGGACTCATCCCTCACTTCCACATAGCAAGGCAAAAGTGGCAGGGAAGCTCTAGAAGTCGAATGAGATGGCAGTGGAATGAGATGGCAGAAAGCTAAAATAGGAGAACAGGCTGTACCATTTTAGACTATAGGTGAGAATGCTGTTTTTGAATGTTCTTCCACATTATAAAAAAACTTATCCACAATGACAAACTAGCACAACATAAAGATCTCAGTGCTTTAACCAGTTTTCTATTTGCAAGGATTTTTTTATACAAGGAAACATTAAAAATTGCACCCTCTACCTGCAACCTTAAATGGTTGAACCCACTGTACCAATTTCACATTCTCCTACTTAATTGCATTGCATTCTTATTTGATTTTAATTTTTTTGCCCTTAAATCATAGCTGAATTATGGTGACTCCATAGGGTTTTCAAGACACAGGCTGGGCTATCCAGGCACTGCAGGCACAGATAAAGTGCAAATCACTTCATTGTTGACACAGTGATAGTATAGATGAGCAGATTCTATTGAAAGGTTTGTCTCCATCATCCAATACATTCTCTAGGCTTTTTCAGATATTTGATTTTGGTGCTGCAAACATGTATAATGGGAATGCACACAAATGGAGACCCTCCCAATACTCACAGGCCCCGGTCACACGGGAGGCTTTGCCCCAGAAGAGGGACGGATCGGGGGGCACATCAAATGGGCGCGATCACACCACAACATCTGGGAAGCAGCACGCACCCATCCCCGATCCGTCCCTTCAGGTCGATAACGTGCAGCAAAAAATAACCTATAAAAGAGCAGTATCTACCTGAAACGCCGCAGCAAGTGCGGCCATGGGATTGCTGGTGCGTTTATCTTCAGGAGCATTCAAGGCTTTCAACCGAACGGCGCATGCGCACACATGCTCAGCCAGCTGCCTTGCTCTGCGTCCTGTGGCTCCCCCCCCCCAGCATCTGATTGTGCCGGGGAGCAACTGCGCGGTGGCTCAGGGGATCTCTCTGATCCCACCGCCACGCGTCTATTTTGCTGCGGCTCAGAAAAGCCGCGCTTTGGCCGTGCTCCCCCCCCATGTGACCGGGGCCACAGTCACTCTTCTCTTTTGTGTGAATGGGGCAATGTGCATTTCCCCCCCAGGTCTGTTACATGCAGATGGAATACTGGATTCCTGAAGGTACATCTTTGTGCATACTGACACACATGACACACTACACCGGTTGCCCTATTTATACAAGATAGCTATACACTCATTCTTGCTAATCTGGAAGCACTGAGAAGGAGTGAGGTGACCTCTCTGTCATCTTTTTATCCTTCAGTTTGGTGTAGTGGTTAGTTTGGTGTAGTGGTTAGGAGTGCGGACTCTAATCTGGGAGAACCGGGTTTGATTCCCCACTCCACCACATGCAGCTGCTTGGGTCAGTCACAAGTTCTCAGAACTATTCTCTCAAGGGCAGTTCTCGAGAAAATTCTCTCAGGCCCACCTACCTCACAGGGTGTCTGTTGTGGGGAGAGAGTTTGTAAGCTGCTTGGAGACTCCAAGTGAAGGGCAGGGTATAAATCCAGTCTCCTCCTCCTCCTCCTTCCCAGCAAGCTTCTCTTCATCACCATACTATTTTCACAACGATTCTGTGAGATAGGTCAGTCTAAGAGAGGCAGTGACTGGCCCAAAGTCATCCTCTGAGTTTCATGGCAGAGTATGGGATAAGATTGCCCACTCCCAGGTGAGGCCTGGAGATCTCCCAGAATTACAACAGATCTCCAGACAGCAGAGATCAGTTCCCCTGGAGAAAATGGCTGCTTTGGAGACTGGACTGTATGGCATTATACCCTGATGAGGTCTCTCCCCTCCTCTCCCCAAACCCTACCCTCTCCAGGTTCTACCCCACCCCCCAAATCTCTAGGAATTCCCCAACCTGGTGATGGTACCCCTATAAGGAAGTGGTGCATCAGTGAACAATGAGCATTACAAGAGCAGCCAGTGGTGCAGAATTGTTGAGTTCCTGATCAGTAACCCTGTATAGGAGGTTGCTGGAACACCCTTGTAAGAACAGGGTTTAAGTATAGTCATTTATTTTTAAAAAATTAAGCAAGAAGGGAGCGCAGTAGAAATGACATGCAGTGTATGGGGCGTGCAGATTGCTCTGGAAGGCACATTTGTGCAGATGTATTTGTGGAATGACTTTCATTCCTTTTGCCTCTAAGGTTCCATTTTGAAGTCATCTGAACGGTCTATTTCCCTGGTAAGAGGTGGGCGGGCTCAGTATGCTGCAGCTTTAGCCTGGCAGAAGAAAGGTGCTTTCCCAGGGCAAACTGTCTTTTCTGAGTGGTTGAGCTCAGCCAAGGAAAATCCTGTGGTGGTTAAGTTTGAGGTAAGATACACGAAGCAAAATGTTTGGAGGGAAGAGGGGGGAAAGCGACTTAGGGTGGAATGTGTAGCTGTGTGGTGATTTTCTCTGAGGGTTTCCCCGTCACAACATCCCCCCACCCCTCAACTGCTTTTTCTCCCATAAAGGAAAATTTACGAGTACCTATAAATTTCTAGTTTCTAGAGTGGTTGTTGCTGCTGTTTTTAAAGGCAGAGATGTAAGATCGAAGGCAATGATTTTGGGTGAGGAAAAAGGTTTTGAGGGAAAGTGTAAAATTGCCCCTCTTCCTTCCCCTATGCCAGTCTGCCACACTCAATCACCACTTTTATTCACAGAACTTCAAATAACATGCAGCTCTGCCCTTACTGTGATGGTTGTGCTGTTTCCTCTTCATTTACATATATGCTAATTTTATTTAAAACTGCTGATTACTTGTGGGAGCCATGATTAGTTTAATCTGTGGTATGGCTGATGGATTGTTTTGTTTTGGACAGGCAGACCAGCTAATGGCACATCTATCTTCTTCAGCAACATGATCTTATAATTCATCTACTTTTTAATGGGGACAACAGTAAATATCAGTAATTTGGGTTTGCCTTGGTTGCAGCTGAAAAGCTGAACCATTCATTCCTTACATTTATGTCCTTCCTTCAAGGAGCTCAGGGGTGGTCCAACCCTGTTATGTCCCTTCCCAACAGCCATTGAGTTAGGCTCGCTGAGGGGAAATGATTTGGCTCAAAGTCACCCAGTGGACTCCATGGCCCATGTAGGGACTTGAACCCAGGTGTCCCCAGTCAAAGTCCAACCACTACACCACACTAACTCAGGCAATTTGTTAAGTTTGTTGCTCGACTTAGGGAGGCTTACCATGGGGAAAATGTTTTGAGAATCCTGGTGTGATTTCTTCCTAGGTGGCCTCCATTTTGGATTTGGTAAAGGACATTCCATGTGCTGTAACGAAACGCAGACATCTCACAAGGTCCTGTGGTGGTTAAGTTTGAGGTAAGATACACGAAGCAAAATGTTTGGAGGGAAGAGGGGGGAAAGCGACTTAGGGTGGAATGTGTAACTGTGTGGTGATTTTCTCCAAGGGTTTCCCCATAACAACATCCCCCCACCCCCCCAGCCGCTTTTTCTCCCATATAGGAAAATTTACGAGTACCTATAAATTTCTAGTTTCTAGAGTGGTTGTTGCTGCTGTTTTTAAAGGCAGAGATGTAAGATCGAAGGCAATGATTTTGGGTGAGGAAAAAGGTTTTGAGGGAAAGTGTAAAATTGCCCCTCTTCCTTCCCCTATGCCAGTCTGCCACACTCAATCACCACTTTTATTCACAGAACTTCAAATAACATGCAGCTCTGCCCTTACTGTGATGGTTGTGCTGTTTCCTCTTCATTTACATATATGCTAATTTTATTTAAAACTGCTGATTACTTGTGGGAGCCATGATTAGTTTAATCTGTGGTATGGCTGATGGATTGTTTTGTTTTGGACAGGCAGACCAGCTAATGGCACATCTATCTTCTTCAGCAACATGATCTTATAATTCATCTACTTTTTAATGGGGACAACAGTAAATATCAGTAATTTGGGTTTGCCTTGGTTGCAGCTGAAAAGCTGAACCATTCATTCCTTACATTTATGTCCTTCCTTCAAGGAGCTCAGGGGTGGTCCAACCCTGTTATGTCCCTTCCCAACAGCCATTGAGTTAGGCTCGCTGAGGGGAAATGATTTGGCTCAAAGTCACCCAGTGGACTCCATGGCCCATGTAGGGACTCGAACCCAGGTGTCCCCAAAGTCCAACCACTACACCACACTAACTCAGGCAATTTGTTAAGTTTGTTGCTCGACTTAGGGAGGCTTACCATGGGGAAAATGTTTTGAGAATCCTGGTGTGATTTCTTCCTAGGTGGCCTCCATTTTGGATTTGGTAAAGGACATTCCATGTGCTGTAACGAAACGCAGACATCTCACAAGGGCTCTTTCAGAATATAGGGAGAGATATGACCCATGCCGATGTTCTCCTTGTCCCAACAATGGGCGACCTGTTTTGTCTGGAACTGAATGCCTCTGCGTGTGTCAGGCTGGAACATATGGCGCTAACTGTGAGATACGAGCACCAGATTACACATCAGGTATTTACAGAAAAATTCCAAGTATGTATTATGCACCAGTCAGGGGAGAAGTCTGGATGTGTAGAAAATATTGTCTTTTTATTTCTCAGGAACAAACCAAACATGAGCTAAAACACTTTTAGGACCAAAATAACTTCAACCCTGAATTCTGCTAACTGCCATCTCAATTTCCCAGAATGCCACATGGTTCAGTCTTTTTTTTTTTTTGGTAAATATTTTTTATTTTATAACAAACAGACAAAGACAAACAAACAAAAACAAACAGTAGTACATATAAACATTCAATGGGAGAATCTCCGACTCTTTAAACTATTAAGTTCTCCATACACCTCTCAATAAAAGTATATTTTACATCTTATAATGTTAAATACACCTTTTGCACAGTTTAATATAGATGTTCTCATTGTCTTCTATTTCAGTTGTGCTCACATTTCATTTGCCACATGGTTCAGTCTTAAACAGGGGAGTAGCATGGGAACAATCCATCATAAAACTTACATCAACTATTACTCCTTGTCACACATGCAGCATCTTATCTAGCCACATCGGACAGTCCAAAATGTGTACCCCTCTTATGGATATCCCTGCTGTACTATTATTTATTTATTTATTTATTTATTTCGGCTTCTATACCGCCCTGACCCCTAAGGGTCTCTGGGCTGTTTACATAGGGTGTTCTAAGAACGCTTTCTTCCCTAACTAGGGCCACATGAAGTAGGGGGGGGCTGCCTACCGACACCCAGGTGGTGTGGCTGTTGTCTTTTTCCAGCTCGGCTCCGTTTCTCTCCAGGCGGTCCTTGGTCGGGCGTTCATCCTGGTGCTCAGGGTGGCTCCCTTCCTTCTTGGTGGGACTGCTTAGGCGCACGGTCCGTGTTCGTTCGGCCGCAACTGTGTCCATTTGGCTCTGTTGCGCCCGCGCTCCACGTCGTCGTGCGACTTCCGGTCCCGCCTCCACCGTTGTTCTTCACACAATACTATGCTGGCCACCAGGGATCGCTCCAACGACCTCGCCGCCACTGCCGCTGCCGCTGCATCGCTATTACTCCACCACCAGTGCTCTGCCGCAGCCGATGTACTTGCCGCAGCCGATGCCACCACCACACACCTCGCCGGAGGAGGGTGCCCCCTACCCATCTGTGGGTAGGTACCCATTTGTCTACTCGCTTATGTATATTAACTGATTTCGAGCGGCTGGGTGGGCGGGAGCTGGGACTAGGGCCGGAAGCTCACCCCGGCCACGGTGGTTCTCAAACAGTCATAGTGGCTATTCAGAGTTGTTGTTAAGGCAGGCGATTTAGCACCTGCGCCACCCCTCCCTTTCAGACATCTATTGAGGTATAAGGGTAGTGTCTAAGAGAGCCAGGAAATTCCCCAGTTCAAAGCTCACCATGGCCACATTTCATCAGGCCATGATCTCTCATCTCTCACAAGTTCTCTCAGAGCTGTTCTCTCAAGAGCAGTTCTCTCAGAGATCTCTCAGCCCCACCTACCTCACAGGGTGTCTGTTGTGGGGAGGGGAAGTTCTTAAGGAGATTGTAACCTGCTCTGAGACTCCTTCAGGTAGTGAAGGGCAGGGTATAAATCCAATCTCCTTCTCCACTTCCTCCCCCGCCCCACGGGGCATTCTAAATAAGAGAGGAGCAGTGGTGGTTTGCCATTGCCTCCCTCTACGTAGCAACCCCAGTCTTCTTTGGTAGTCTCCCATTCATGTATTGACTGTGGCCAACCCTGCTTAGTTCCCAAGCTCTGATGTGTCTGGGTTAAACTGGGTTATTCGGGCTGCTGCTGTTGATCACCTGTGTACGATGCACTTTTAAGGTGAATAAGAGAGCAGTCCTAAGAAGGTCCACTCAGAATCCTACTCAGGTCTGTCCAGTGGGGCTTACCCCCAGAAAAGTGTCCTTACTTCAGATTGCACTGTAAGCACTTGTGTTAAGTCTGATCGACTTGTAATGTCTACATTTGACCAGGATCTTTGAATACACCTCCATCAATAAAGAAAATAAGTACTTTAAAAAAAAAAAAGCAAAAGCTTCTTAGATAGGATTGCCATGCAGAGATTGGGAAATTCCTGGTGGTTTGGGGGAGGAATCTTGTGAAGGTGGAGTTTGGGGAGGGAAGGGAGCTCAGCAGACATGTGATGCCAGACAGCCCAGCCTCCAAACCCAGGGGAACTGATCTCTGTAGTCTGGAGATCAATTGCAATCCTGGGAGATCTCTAGGTCCCACCTGAAGGTTGGCAACCCAGCTTTTAGAAGATGCGTTTGTGGCAAGTGGATAATATCACTGGTTCACTATGGTCTTAGCTGGACCAAGGCTTGGCCTGTCTTCTACAACTTAGGATGGAGAAAAACCTCACACTTTGCTAAGCAGAGTCGCAGGATACGAGCCATTCTTTTGCTGCTTGGCTGCACTGCTTCCTGGCTGACATTAGAATGCACTAAGGGCAAGTCTGTTACTTGGGTGGTTCAACACAAGAAAAACTTCCCTTTTGTATGAAACATTGAATGTGGGAACACCCTCCCCCGCTCCCCCAGAATTCAATATTTCTTTCCTTTTCCGCTCGTCCCTCCTCATAAGACTACCGCATTTGGTGATCTTTGGTTTAGAAAAAAAGGCAATTAAAGGGCAACATGGTTGAGGAGTTATAAAATTATTAATCATAAGTAGAGGAGTAGAAAGGTCCCCCCCCTTTCCTTTCTTAGAATAATAGAACCTGGGGTGAAACTGATGGGCAGCAGATTCAGAATGGACAAACGGGAGCGGAACGGACAAAAGAGAGATACACACAGTTAACGTGGAACTTACTGCCACAGGATCTATTGACAGTCAGTATACAAAGAACCCTTAGAGCCAGTGTTCCCTCTAAGCTGAGTTAGTGTGAGTTAGCTCACAGTTTTTTTAGCCTCCGACTCACACATTTTTGTCTTAGCTCAGGAAGGACGGCTCCAGAGCAAACTAATTTATGCAGGAGCCAAATCGCTCGCTCACAACTTTTATACCAGTAGCTCACAAAGTAGAATTTTTGCTCATAAGACTCCACAGCTTAGAGGGAGCATTGCTTAGAGCCCTTCTGATAAGAAGAAGAGAAGAGACTGGATTTATACTCCGCCCTTCACTTGGAGTCTCAGAGTGGCTTATAAACTCCTTTCCTTTCCCCTCCCCACAACAGACACCCTGCAAGGTAGGTGGGGCTGAGAGAGCTTTTTCAAGAACTGCTCTTTCAAGGACAGCTCTGACAGAACTGTGGCTTGCCTAAGGTCATCCAGCAGGTGCAAGTGGAGAAGTGGGGAATCAAACCTGGTTCTCCCAGATTAGAGTCCGCGCATTTAACTACTCCACCAAACTGGCTAATGCCAATGGTCTTTAAATGTGTCCATAAATGAGTCTTTTTTGGATTCTAGTTGCAGTAGATGGTTACTGGAACTGCTGGTCTGCCTGGAGTCCCTGTGACGCCTCTTTCAAGAAGCGAAGGACCCGACTGTGTAACAACCCTTCACCTCTGAATGGAGGGAAGCCTTGTGAAGGTGAAGCAGAAGAGGAAGAAGACTGCTACGTCTCATTATTTGCAGATAGGTAAGTATGACACCCTTATTTATAGAGCGTCACTGGTGCAGCTTTTTACAGAACACCCTACCACAAGTGACAGCCTTGAGTCGCTGGTTTTAGTTTTGATGTGGGGAATACACAAAAGGAGGAAAAAGTGTGAATTAGCATAAATTAGCAAAACGCCTGGAAAGAAGGTTCTGTATTTTTCTGCAAAGGTCCCGCCCTGCCCACATCAGCCCCATTTCCCAACCATGATCTTCTTGCAGTCATCATTTCCCAAACATTTTCTTCCTTCTGAGCCACCAGAGGTCTTAAAGAAAAATCAGGATTTGCTCTAACGATCCACCTCCATATCTATTTCAAATACTGATTTAGCGCTAAAGCCCCTGTGTAAATAAAAGGTCAAAAGGAGGGGTGGCTAGTCAATCACATCCTCGAGAGGTAATGCAGAATCCTGGTGGAGTGTGTGTAGATTGGAGAAATCTGGGGGGGGGGGGGGGGTAGAGAAAGTATACAGAAAACTCTCTGTCGTGAGCATGCCTTCCTCTGCATTCATGGTGGTGGTGAAAGCAACACAAAATCCTTGTCATGTGGGAGCAGCTCAAATTATATTGGCTCTTCCACTTTGGAGTCCCTTAACTTGGAAGAAATGGGCTGTTGAAGCCACCTTTCTAAGTGCTTGAGGATTGTGAAAATGGCTGTGCTACTGCTGATTTGGGCAGTTTGCTGGTCCCCGGTCCCCAGCAGCTGCTGACGTCACCACTCTAGACAGCCAGTTTGGTGTAGTGGCTAGGAGGGCAGATTCTAATCTGGGAGAACCGGGTTTGATTCCCCACTCCTCCACAGGCAGCTGCTGGTGTGACCTTGGGTCAGTCACAAGTTCTTTCAGAGCTGTTCTCTCAAGGGCAGTTCTTTAGAGAGCTCTCTCAGCCCCACCTACTTCACAGGGTGTCTGTTGTGGGGAGGGGAAAGGAAAGGAGATGGGAAGCTGCTCTGAGACGCCTTCGGGTAGTGAAGGGCGGAATATAAATCCAATCTCTTCTTCTTCTCTGGGTTCTGGCTCTGTGTGGCTCTTGTCTGAGGGTGTTTTTATTCATGTTTCTAACTGGAAGATCACCCATTTCAGGGGGGCTCCGTGTGTAAATGATGATGAAGGCCGAAGAGAAGTAGACATGTTTGAGTCTGAATCTGAGTCTGGGTGCCTGACTCCAGTACCGCCAGAAAATGGATTTATCCGGGTGAGAAGCACTTGTCAAAATACAGAAGGGTCTGAGACTGGCCACGGGTGGGAGATTGGGGCGGGGGTCAGGGTTGCCAGATCCAGGTTGGGAAACTCCTGGAGAGTTGGGGATGGAGCCTGTGGGGGGGACCTCAGTGGGGTACAATGAAGCTGTAACTCCTGGGGATCCCCAGGCCCCACCTGGAGACTGGCATGCCTACCAGCCAAAGATCACTCAGGTCTTTAAAAAAAATTATTTAAATCTAATCTAATTGTTCTTGAAATGATTTAAATAAACAAGGATAACAAATATGGAGGTAACACTAACATATGTCAAAGAGATTAAAAGTAAATAGGCAACCATGTCATTTCTTATTCTTATCTTGTTTTTAATATTGCAGCTTCTAAGATCCTTACCAGAGCCTGTGCAGAAAAGATAAGATAGTCTCACTGAATTCCAAATTTGAGAAATTCATAGGTCATAGGGTGCAACTACCTTCTATGGCTGCCATTACATGAGCCAACATATGACTTTAATAAACTTTCTGATTCCTACCTTCTAAAGGTATGATATGGGGCTCCTCTGATACTTCCTCAGATTTATAGCAAACCCTGTGCTGTCCTCCCTGGAATTATTTCTGGGCGCTGAATAAATTTATTCATAACTCAGTGTAACCGTAGTTTCTAATAGTGGTCAGAAGATCTGGTTCTTGCTGGACTGTGAGTTGTCTCTCCCAAGCCAAAACTCTGAATGTCTGGAACAGTAAGGAAAAACGCATGCTTGAAATTTTGGACAGGAAGCTAAAGCAGATTCTCCTGTGAGTTTATGCTAAGCATTTTAAGCAGTATATCCAGTTAAACGTAAAGTCCACAATCCCTTGATGGGGGTGTGTGTTTAATAATGGATTACCTCAGATATCAAACTTGGTTGCCAATCCTTCCTGAAGCCAAACCAGTTGCCAACTTACATCTGCACTGGTAATGAGGGCCCATACCTGTTTTCAGCAAATGAAAGTTTCAGGGTTTTTTACTCAGACCTAGCTATGGCTCATCATACCGAGGGAAGGCAGCCTGGTATAGCTTGATCTCATCAGATCACAAAAGCTAATCAGGGTTGGTACTTGGATGAGAGACCACCAAGGAAGAGTCTGCAGAGGAAGGCAGTGGCAAACCATCTCTGCTTCTCACTTGTCTTGGAAGCCCCTTGCTTCAGTCTTCAAAAACTGGTTGCAAGTTGATGGCAGTTACATACTTTGCTATGGCTCATATTACAGAATATTCACTTAATGCATTATTCAATGCAATTTCAGAATGAGAGACCTTACTACTCAGTTGGAGAAGAGGCTGAAGTTGTCTGCCTGGATGGACATCATCTCAAAGGCTACCAATTCCTTAGGTGCCTTCCGGATAAAACATGGAATCAACATGCTATAGAATGTGAACGTAAGAACTAAAACATTAGCTTTAATGTGAAGAATAGAATGAAGTCCTTTAAATATAATCTGTAGACCAGTTCCCATATAACTTGTTCATGATACAGGGTGTTTCCCCCACTTTGTTACTTTTCAGGCAAGCCATTAGCTGAAGTGTAACTTACTTAACTTCAATATTTTGACTTGATCTTTCTTCACTCCAGCATCAGCTTGCTCCAGGCCATTGGCCTCTGACGGCATCTTGATCTCCCCATTTAAATTTCAATACGAGATCGGGGAAACCATCCAGATAAATTGCCCAAATGGTTTCATTCTCGTTGGCAAAAAGAAATACACCTGTGGGAATGACCTATCCTGGACTCCTGCTGTTCTGGAATCTCTGTCTTGCAAGAAACGTATGTACCTGCCTGTTCTAATCACTGAACTCATTACGTGCCTTGTCATCTGTGCTATTTCATTTGTTTTGTACCTGGTGTGGAGGAATACCCTCCATCCAAGAATTCACCCCAATATTTCAATTACTGTGATTGCTCCATGTCCACGAACAGGAGCACAGATGCAGACTAGCAGAGGGTGGAGAAAAGGGGGTTGAAGAAGGGAGCCATCAAGCTCCCAGCACAGAGAACTCAAGGTCTTAGTTATGCTAATGGAACTGGCGGAAGCAGGAAATAGCTTACTACACCCTGCTACTGGGTCACACCTAGAGCCATAAAGCTGGGGAAACTAAAGCAATAGAAGGAAAAGTCTTCTTTGGGGACAGGAAAATCACCACAGTGGGGAAGAGTGGGAAGACGGGTGATTTAAGTTTAGAACACAAGAAGAAGAAGAGGAAGAAGAAGAAGAAGAAGAAGAAGAAGAAGAGGAAGAGGAAGAAGAGGAGGAGGAGGAGGAGGAGGAAGAGATTGGATTTATACCCTGCCCTTCACTACCCAAAGGTGTCTCAGAGCGGCTTACAAACTTCTTTCCCTTCCCCTCCCCACAACAGACACCCTGTGAGGTGTGTGGGGCTGAGACAGCTCTTGACAGAAACTGCTCTTTTTCAAGAACAGCTCTTATCAGAACTATGGCCTGCCCAAGGTCATCCAGCCAGGTGGAAGTGGAGGAGTGGGGAATCAAACCCGGTTCTCCCAGATCAGAGTCCGCACATCTTGCCATTGATTTGGAAGCACAGGCCATGATAGACTAAGCTCATACCTAGGGGCTCTATGCAGCAAGGGTGGGACAGGAAAATCACCACAGTGGGGAAAAGTGGGAAGACGGGTGATTTACGTTTAGAACACAAGAAGAGGAAGAGGAAGAGATTGGATTGATAGAAGGTACTGACAGCTAGAGTAAAGGCAGCTCAGCATGTTGTGCTTCCCTTTTCTGTAGAGACAGTGTATGTGCAATCCCTCCCTTTGTCCATGCTAGAAGCTTCTCTATGACTTCCCCTTCTCTTTCTATGCCTTTGTTCTCTCACCTTATGGCCTTGCAAAAGGCTTCTGCAGATCTCTCCTGTGCTAGCAAGCCAGAATCCTACCCACAATATCACACTTCCATACATATACCGCCAGAGTAGCTGGCCACCTGTAACAGGGAACAGTATTATTTAGATTAGACGTATGTTTCTTCTGTTACTACTAAATGCACATGAATGTGAATAAGCTTGAACAAAAGAAGTCCTTTTTTCAGTTGCAGTATACTGGCTTGAAGAGTGTTTCAGAGGGCAGCCCTGTTAAAGGTAACGACAGCTAGAGTAAAGGCGGCTCAGCATGTTGTGCTTCCCTTCTCTTCCTATACCTTTGTTCTCTCTCCTTATGGCCTTGCAAAAGGCTTCTGCAGATCTCTCCTGTGCTAGCAAGCCAGAATCCTACCCACAATATCACGCTCCCATACATATATCGCCAGAGTAGCTGGCCACCTGTAACAGGGAACAGTATTATTTAGATTAGACTTATGTTTCTTCTATTACTACTAAATGCACATGAATGTGAATAAGCTTGAACAAAAGAAGTCCTTTTTTCAGTTGCAGTATACTGGCTTGAAGAGTGTTTCAGAGGGTAGCCCTGTTGGTCTCCAGTAGAACAGTTAGATTTGAGTCCAGAAGCACCATAGAGACCAACAAGATTTCCGGGATATGAGCTTTCAAGAGCAAAAGCTCCCATTTTGTATTATTGTATACAGGGCTTTTTTGGTAGAAAAACCCCAGCAGGAACTCATTAGCATAACAGGCCACACCCAACAGCAGACACTCCTTAGCATATTAGGCCACACCCATGATAGCAAGCTCATTAGCATACTAGGCCACACCCCCGTGTTACCAGAAGTGTGGTCATCCAGCCACACCCACCTTTTGCTTCTTATTCTCTTTACCTTGTTTGTTGATAAAACCTAGAGCTTTTTTTGTAGCAGGAACTCCTTTGCATGTTAGGCCACACACCCCTAATGTAGCCAATCCTAATGAGTTTCTGCTGTTGGGTGTGGCCTATTATGCTAATGAGTTCCT